GTGCTTTTCCTTTATCCATGCAAACTGGATTCATTTATTATTAGTTTCTGTGCTTAAAGTCCAGAGATTTCCCCTTATTTAAATCTATTGTTTACACCTGTCGTGTGATTCTGTGCTTTATTTATATATATTTTTTTCTAATCTATTTGTACAAACAAGATGCTTTACTAAGCATCATGTTTGCTTTACTACATCTTAGTTTTATCGTTTCCTTTTTTTGACAGACACGATGTGAGTGGATTTTAAACATTTGTTGCTGTCCGTCACGCTTCCCACTCTTACCTATAAACAACTTGTCTTACTGTTTGCCAAACCCAAGGAGGCATACATATCACCGCCTCTCCTCCCCCGCATGGCTCAGTTCAAAACCTGGTTCACCACCAGCATGTGTACAAACTTCTTATACACAGAGACCTAACTGTGACACTCAGTGAAGAGATGGTCTGAGTAGACTGAGAAAACTCTGAAGGACTATGTCAGCTCTACTGTGTAGGAAAGCCTGTGTGCTCCTCATACGGAGCTTCATCAATGCTCTGCTTTTTATAAAGTTATGATGTTTCTCCAATAGCAAAACCTTGATTAACCCCAAAATAAAGGCCATCATCAAGGGAAGAAAAGAGTCTTCAGAGCAGAAAAGAATGAGGAGCTGAGAGCCCTGCAGAAGGAACCGAGAGAGTATTTGAAAAATGAAACAACATCAACAGAAAGAAGATAAAGGGCCTGCCAAACTACAGTAGCAGCCATTCAAAATACCCCTTTCCAGTCAAATGCCAGCAGAAAGGCAGCCCGCTTCCGGGCAACTCCCAGCAAAGTCCTGGGCGTGCATATTTTCCACTCTTTCACTGAATTACAGTGTCCATTCAGCAAACGATGCTTTTCTTTAGTTATGAATGTCCACAAATCATTACAGAAAGAATATTTTAGTACAAATATTGATGTTTAAAAAGGAATTGTAGGGGACCAGCCAAGGACAACCCAAGGGCCCATTAAGGAAAGTGGACAAAGTTTGAATGGCTACTACTGTATTTCTGGTTACAATCCGAAAAACATGATTGGAGATTCAGCACTACCTCCCTGTGGGGTCATGTCTCCCCAGCTCTGAATACTTGAAGCTGCAAAGCAACTTAAGAACACTTCACAGAAAAGACTATTACATCCTATAAGCACAAAATGATCATCATCATAAGTCCTTCCCACCAGCAGCTGTTAGACTTTTTAATGATTACATTGCTTCATGCTACAACCAAAGGTGGTTATTCCTGCTGTTCTTTGTAAAGTTGTATAATTTATTTTTCAAAACAATGGGTTTTCTGTTTTTTATACATACCATATCAATGCCCGTGTTTTTGTTTTAAGTTGTCAAACTTAATTGCTTTCCCACTTTCTGTTTTTATATTTCCTCTTTATTTTATTTTGTATTATAGTATAATATAATAAAGGTAGGGTAGCACATTCACTCTAACTTGGTGTATGGCGTTTCACTGCAAATAATTCATTTTCAGTCCTTTGATCCTACGCATTCCATTTATAATTGAAAATAATCTACCATGCATTAGCTCAGCGATTCCTTAGGTATTAAGGGATGCAGCTCAAGATGGGAAGAATAGCACTGTACAGGAAACCACTGCTTTCATGTGAAACGCCACAGCCTGCTTGAAAGCTCAGTGTTGTGACTGCAGGCATCAGAAAATCTTAATGACGCATTTGTTAGAAGGTAGGTGACTCTAGAAAGACGGAAGAGAGTG